GTGTGAGCTGCTATACTCTGGTCTGGACAGTATGGAGAGTCAGTATAACTACAGGCTGTGAGGCATTCCATCATAATACTCAGAGGTGACAACGCACCTGTAGCCTTCTTTGTTTGAAGTTAGTTGCAGTTGTACATGAGCTGCAGACTGCCTCGATGGTCTAGTGGTTGTAGTAGTGCGACTGCTGATCATGAGGTCCCGGGTTCGAATCCCGGGTCGGGCCAAATAATCGGTTATTGAGTTTTTCCATCAGGAAATTCTCAGGAAGCTGGCGGTGGCTCACCCCCGTGTCTCGGAAAGCATGTAAAGCCGTTGGTCCTGCGCCCGATCTCTCTCCGGTCGTGTCGATTTATCGTTCCATCGGACTACGAGAGTGAGGGAATAGAGAGTGCACCTGTGATTGCGCATACACTTGGGCACTATAACCCTGTCCTGCGCCGATGGCTAGTCTTCGTTGAGGCTGGCCACCGTAACCGAAATTCGGACTAGAGGACATTATTACATGAGCTGCAATAGCCACTAACCATCAGGTAGGCTGTAGGTACTTATGTCCGTGTTACTTTAGTTTTATTTAAAAAAAAAATATCGTCACAGGTCCACAATACGGTGACAAATAGCATGTTTAACATAATTTGCATTTGCGTCATAGTTTTTCTGTATTGTTTGCGTCTGTTTGCGACTAACATGCCCAATTATCACACAGGAACAACTTTTTCACCACAATTAACGTTGAAGTTCAGAAATATCATCATAAGTTTGCTCATTTAACAAATCACACACTGCGCGTATGAGCACTATGCTACATTTGTTGTTATCCTTAAAATATGTTACTCGCTATCCGATATTTTGTGCAATTTGACGCAAATGAATATACTTATAACGTATTGTCGTTTCGCTTTAAGGATGTTGCTGGATGTTGCTATCTGTAATTAATATGGTTCCAGCATTGATTTCAATTCATCTCGACTCTCTTCAGTCGTTCATGAGACTCGTTATTGAGGTTAAAATTTCCAGAATGAAAGCGATCAAACCAAAAACGTGCTACATGTCCATTTGATGTGACACAATGATTACTAGGTTAAATGTAGTATGAACTATACCTACAGTCCGTAAATTATATGCAAGTACCTAATTGAAACAAAATTATATGAGATCTTTTTATTTTTCGACGTAAACATTCCATACAAGTAGACGTTATTAAAGATGCACTAAGATAAAAAAATACTGAAGATAATTCTAAGAAGGTTTTAGGGCAAGGACCACACTCTAAACCACGCTCCCACCGCGCTGCCCCAATGCGTGTTGGCAAACTTCACATGTCTTCTTTTAAATATTTTTGATGTATCAGATATGCAGGTTTCTTCACAATGTTTTCCTTCACCGCCGATCTTGATTATATATATGATAACCTCTTGAAAGTAGATTAGGTACTTAAATACAACTATAGCTGTATTTAGGATCAATAAACAAAAAGATTAAGAATCGATTATTTTTAAAAAAGAAAGCTTAGTAATGTGACATTTATCAAAGCCTAGTCTGCATTTAGCGTAATTATTAAACGTCTGGTCTGGCGCAGGAGTAAAGTATTCTGTGGTCTGGCGTGTCAGGCAAAATGCGCACGAATGGTAGCCCTACCTTTCGTCCTTTCGCCCCTTCTATTTTTGAATTATGGCGCGCGCACACGTGATTGGCCGGCGTGGAAGCGTTAACGTTCAGTACTTTGTATTTATTAACGTTGCGTTCAAATGGAGTACAGATAAAATCAAGCTATAAACGAAACACTTAATTGCAGTCAAAGCCACCACGGCGTATATGAATAATGATTGTTCCTGTTCTAATTCCTTTTAATATTATGATCTATATGCGTCAGAAGATCAGGTTACCTATTACAAAAGGTAGATACTACCTTTTGTAATTAATAACGATATCTATATTTGCACGTAGTTACAAATAATTATAGATGAAGATAATTTTCGTTACATGAGCCTATAAAGTATCATCATCATCATCATTACAACCCATCACGAGTGCACTGCAGAGTATAGGGCCTACCCCAAGAAATCCACAAGAAACAGTCCTGAAACACCTGCCTCCATCGGCTCCCTGCATTATTTACCAGGTCGTCACTGGGTCTAATGGGGGCCCACTCTACATTTCGCTTACAGGTACGAGGCAGTCATTCGGAAACCTTTTTTCCCAATCGATTGTCGGTACTTCAAACTCGATCGGTCCGTTGCCTAGTCAGCTTACTTGTACGTGAAGCTATGTCGATTAACCAGGTTCTACTGCGGACATCCTCTTGACGAAGTCGCTCACTCAGACAACAACCGATCATAATCCTCTACATAGTTCACTGAACGATTTGAGCTTCCTCATACAGTCAATGGAGCAGGATGTCAGATATGTCATCATTGGTAACATGTATTGGTTGTGAACTCTTGAAGTTTCACAATTTTCAAGTTTTGAAAAATAGCTAGGTCACGGCCCAGCCGAATTGGATCCGTCTCTTTGTGTAGATAATTTTATAAATATACGCAAAAATACTTTCATACGCGGTAGAGCCACGTTGCAGCTATATAATGGTTGTAGCACGAATGGGTCGGCTCGACCGCGGTAGGATCACGCTCTCACAGAATACTAACGTAAAATAGCAGCTTAATGCTGCTGTATAGTGAGTGTACAGAGCCAGAGACACTTTTTACTGGCAACGAGGCATTACTACTTAATCCTTAAGGTGACAATGCATCTGCATGTTGATTTTTAATTTAAGATAGATCTAGACGTAATATAGGCCACAGCATCCACTTACCATTAGGTGGACTGTGTGCTCGTTTGTCACCCATATTATATAAAAAGAACTATATATAGTATTACAAAATTACGAATTCGAGAATGCCAAACCTAATGGAAATCGACTAGTAATAGTATTTAACATAACGACATTACGACTATGCGTCAAAATATTAACTTTTATACGTAGAAATCTGCATACAAATAAAATTGAAGTGTCTGTTTGTAATATTGAAATAACTGGCTTCTATTGAGCTCGGTGTTTTTTTGCACGCTATTAAAACGTAAATAACCTTTTCTTAAATTTTTGTCTGTATATTTGCCCGTGTTAATCTTCGGAATGGCTGAACCGATTGAAACGAAGAAAAAAACTTTAAGAAAAATAGAGAGATATGCCAGTAGTGATCTAAGCTATATTTATTCGAAAAATTTAATTTCAAAACAAAAATAAAAAATTATAAAATAAACGGTGTTTGACTATCTCAATAACACCACACTAATAGATCCTACCTAGACGCAGCCGGAGCGGCTCGCTAGTATCTATAATTTTACGAACGATACCACGAGCTGATAAACTTTGACTAATGATAAAGTCCGTCATGTTTCCGTTACAAGGAAACGCTCGAGGTAATTGATAAGGAATCATAAGAAACTGTGTTCCGCCTGGTAATTATAAACTTCAACAGCTACCAAAAAGGTGATATAGGTTTATGTCTTATTGTGTTATTATTAAATAAGCAATGGTTTATGCCCATTCAGCCTCTACTCTACATAGTATAAAACAAAGTCGCTTGCAGCCGTCTGTACGCTTAGATTATTATAAGTTCAAGGTAACAACAAGAATATCGTCTAAATAGTTTCATACATTAAAAACCTCCACCCTCTAATTTTCCTCTCTTAGAAGTGGAACTTCTCCAAACCTATATGGCACTCGAAGTTGATGTAGCCTATTTGAAAATTAAGAAACACTAAAATCGGTCACAGTTGAGGATTCTGGACTGATATGACTTTTTTTATAGAATAAGGCTGACAAATGAGCACACAGTCCACCTGATGGTAAGTGTTTGCTGTGGCCCATAGACATCTACATCTATCTTCGTTTGCGAATTAAAATGTAGATGCGTTGTCAGCCGTGAGGACTAAGATAGAATACCTCTTTTCCAGTAAAAAGGGTATCCGGTTCTCTACACTCACCATACGAAACACAGCAGCATTAAGCCAATTAAGCTGCTATTTTACGCTGGTATTCTGTGAGAGCATGGTCCTTCCCTAGTCGAGCCGACCCATTCGTGCTACAATTATACTACTAATATAGCTGCAGCCACTTAATATACCTTAAACAAAACAGCCGACTCCTTTTTAAAAGGCCGGTAATGCATCCGAGATTCTCCTTGATTGGTCTTGTTATACCACACACCCTCTTAATGATGTATGATTTAAACACAATCTTGAGAAAAACAAAGATTTATTGAGATTTCACAATATACGAAACTTGGTAAAAATATAAGGTTGAGTCACGCGACCGTATTGGTAGGCAAACACCAAAACACTAAAAATGTAGAATATTAATAAATAAGGTCAGTTGCGAATAGTGTTTAGTTACTAAATTGCCGACGCGGGAGAATGCACGGTGTTGGACCGTACATGCTCCGGGCCGCCAGAAGAGGGCGGGATGCTGATCACGATTGCTTGAAAAAAGATGTATGAGTGGCTATGAGCTACGTAAACCCGTTTACAATTCGAACACTGTTGGTTGGTACTATGATCACTACGGTCGGTCGTTTCTTCTTCACAAATGCTGTTTCGGACGGAGGATAGGCGAACCCTGGTGCGGTCCTCCGCCGGGGGCACTGCCGGCGAGTTGGCTCTTTCTAACCGTGCTTGTCGCATTCGCCGCCACGCCAGGCTTACACCCACGATAATTGCTGCTCCGATCGTGATGTATATGAGAGCATAATGATGCACATCATGGTATGATACATCACTTGTCAACACCGTCTGCTGAATCGACGCGTTGATGATATTGTTTATCGGACTGAGGTCTTCAACATTGATGTATGAGCTTGATAACGCTGCGGTCAAGGTTACGAGCATGCGCCGTAAATAGGTCGGACTTCACAATGCACCCGTGTGAAATGCTGACGATGCCGGCGCGCTCCAGCTGTGGCGCGGTCACCTGATCCGCGCACATCACTCGTAACTGACTCCTCTCACAACAAAAGTATATCTATCTTGTTTATGTCGTTTAATTCAGTCCATTTATTATTGCAGGAGTCCACAACAGTTTTACACTGTTGTTTACTATTATCGAAGTCACGGAATTTCTCGTCTTGTGAGAGATGGTAAACTGGTTTCTTTAATTGACATATGTACTTGTCATTTTGCTGACTGCATGATGAAATTTCATCTATACCCATCACAATGTACGCATCCTTTGCTAGGTTTATGGCCACGTATTTCGATATTAGTATCGTGTTAACCATTTTGCTGTTATTAATCTTGGTCGGTACTGGAATAAGATGAAATATTTCGAAGGAATCTCTACTGTTGAGCGGCACCTTTATCTCGAACAGTAGGTACTCTTCGCAAATTCTGGCCTTTATTGTTAAGAGGTGATAAATACTTTCAAGGGTTGCTAGTATGTTTTCGATTGGTAAGGCTAGCTCCTTCGATATTTGGCTTGCTATGATACCGAGTTCATTTCTAAGCTGCTCTGGAGACAAGAGATGGAAATTAAATCTCCCATGATAAATATCTGTGATCGTGTCCAGCAATGATTCTCGCACGCTTCGTAATTCCTGTATCATATTGCTTGCAGCTAGGGCTGTCAAAGTTAATTGATTCACTTGAGACATGTTGACGACCTCTGAGTTTAATATATTTAGCGTTTTCTATATTTAGCATCTGTTTATTTATTAACTTATGCTTTTTATTCATAGCGTCTTAACTCCTCTTAAGTTATACTCCACCTCGACTACAGATGTTTGATTTTGCCACAATGTTGCCAGATCCTGCAGATTATCACAGATGAGCGTTATGTCTTATTGGAATTTTTGAGCAAAATTCTCATCTGAAATTCCAAATAATGAGTTCGCGATACTGCCGACTCCATTGATCAGTCCTCGGCAGCGGCGCGACAGCGTGCGCGAATGTTGTATCAACAAAATAGTATTATAATGCGGGAATTCGGACTCGAACTATGACGTAGTTGCCACAGTGTAATGTTACATTGGTCTTCTTGTAATTTATCGCATGTTCCTTGCAATTAATTAAAATATTGTTCAAAGGTCGTCATCCCTTGCCAGTAGGGGCTCATGTCATGATAGACGACCATGATCCATTCGTCTCAAATCCTTACATGTCAGTGACTTTGTCGAAATATATTCCTTGGTTTGACTTCAGAGGTGTGTTAAGAACATCACAGCCAACGCCAGCGACGAAAAATGAACTTGAGGTTTCTTAATAGATTTAGGCGCTCTTGTTTGTTGGTCGTTCTTGATTGATGATGGTTTGTTTGTGTTATTATCGCTGCAATCTCTTAACTTAAGTCTTGATTTACAGGTAGTACGATTAGATAGATAGATTTTGTCATAATTGTTCATGCAAGATTATTTGTATTTGACTCATGCCAATGTCTAAAGTTGCCTGAATTTCGCGGTATGTCACATGTCGATCTTCCTCAATCAGCTTACGCACAGCATCAACGTTTCCTTGAGTGACTGCAGTTTTTGGACGACCTTGACGGGGATCATCACTGAGCTTGACACGTCCACGTTGAAATTCAGCAAACCAGCGATAAATTGTGGTTTTGGATGGGGCTTCATCACCAAATGCAGAAATCATCCGGTCAACACACTGTTTTTGTGTTAAACCACTTCGAAAGTCATAATAAATCATCGCTCTTGAATTTACTCGAGTCAATTCCATTTTCTCAACGACTAACAAGTTTGACAAAACCTTGTGACAAGACCGAGAATCTTTTTTAAATAAATAAATGGTTGTTGTTTTTATTATTCGCTCGAAAGAGCAGGCAAAGGAACTACGCCATACAGCCTTATCTTTTTTATTTTGAGTATATAGAATTTTACGGCTTGACAATATGATGATGCGTCACATTGTACAGCCTTGGGAGATTTTGACAGGACAGTTGGCGATGGTATCTATTTTTTTTTTTTTTTTTTTTATAGGTTAGGGTGACAAACGAGCACACAGTCCACCTGATGGTAAGTGGTTGCTGTGGCCCATAGACATCTACATTTATCCTCGTTTGCGAATCAAAATATAGATGCGTTGTCACCCGTGAGGACTAGGATGGAATCCCTCATTTCCAGTAAAAAGGGCCTCCGGCCACCTGCACTCACCAAGCGAAACGCAGAGGTAAACCTCTACTTCACGCTGGTATTCTGTGAGGTCGTGGTACCACCCCGGTTCGAGCCGGCCCATCCGTGCGACAGCAAAAGCTGCCGCCTGGCTCTACCACTGTTAAGTATTCTGTGAGGTCGTGGTACCACCCCGGTTCGAGCCGGCCCATCCGTGCGACAGCAAAAGCTGCCGCCTGGCTCTACCACTGTTAGGTATTCTGTGAGGTCGTGGTACCACCCCGGTTCGAGCCGGCCCATCCGTGCGACAGCAAAAGCTGCCGCCTGGCTCTACCACTGTTAAAAATCTAAAGGCGCCTATGCAAACAAACAGCTTATCTTGAGAATCCAACACCATCAGAGCACTTGTTTCATCGTTTCCACTAATAGTTCACATGCGTAGACAGTTAATACACAAAATCGCACCACTTTTACATATCAAAGTCCACTTCAAACCATTATTTAAACAATAATACAGGAGCAGCAAACAGCCGCCGGACAAGTTCCCGCCAAAACTCCCATAAATAAATGGTATTTGATTTTTAAAACCAAGGAGTTTTCAATTAAAAAGATTTTAATATGACAGGAACAGTGGAAATATTCCATTCCCGATACTTTTAGTGCAGCTATGTAGCGATAATTTCACTACAGGCCTTTTGAGGTAGCCATTCTTGGTTTTAATTGTGACCATTCTCACTTGCTCATCAGAGCCGGGATGAAGTTCGACGACGCTACCCATCGCCCACCGTCCTGGAGGTAAGTTGTCTTCGTGGACGAGCACGACGTCGTTGATCTTGATATTCCTTTTTTCCATTTGCCACTTGCTGCGCACTTTTACTTGAGTCAAGTACTCTAAACACTATCGTTTCCACATGTCGTAAATTTTTTGAAAATAGTACCGTCTTATTGGTAGATCTTGTTCTGTATCAATTATCGTCAACACAGGTCCAATTGCTAAGAAGTATGCTGGCGTTAAATAATCCAGCCTGGGTCTTCATTTATGGCGCACAATGGCCTTGCATTTAAGCAGCCTCCTAGTTGGTACATTATGGTGGTGAACTCCTCATAAATCAGTCTCTGTTCACTGAACACGCGTTTCAGGTGATATTTTAGACTTTTAACAGTCGCCTCCCATAACCCGCCTGTTGAGGGCCAGGAATGGGCGTTAAAGTGCCTCTGTATGTGCATATCTGTGATGCTTTGCATAAACTCTGGATTATCTCGGTTGATGGTCGATATAATTTCTAGGTATTCTTGTATTAGGACTTTGCTTGCTCCAACGAAGTTGGTGCCATTATCACTATAAATGTGACTTGGCGTTCCTAGGTCCTAGGATGATGACGTTGTTAGGTCCGATACTAGTTCTAAGTGCACGGCCTTAGTTACCATGCACAAATACCGCTACATATCCCTTGGTACACTTGATGCCTCGCCCTTTACTGCTTTTGATCATGATAAAGCCTGTATAATCCAATCCTGTGTGAGAAAACGGGCGAGATGGGTTACTTCTGGCACTAGATAGGTCACACATGAGTTGATGCTGCTTGCTTACTTTAAACCACCTGCATCTCATACACTGTCGTAAGCGCTTCTTAGTGGCCCTGTTGCCCCGTTCGATCCAGTACTGCTGACGAATAAATGATTTTATTAATCTTGGTCCCCCGTGAAGTGCAAGACAATGGGCTTCATCTATGATCAACTCCTTAAGATGATTTGCGTGTGGAATGATGATTGGCTGCTTCATTTCTATGCTTATCTGTGCGTTTCTCAGTCTACCACCAACTCTTAGAACGCCTCCTTAATCTAAATGAGGGTGTAAGTTTACTATCTTGCTCTTAGCATTTACGCTCTGTTTTGCTTTGAGATATTCTGTCTCTTGCGAAAACTCTTTTTGATGAACATGCTTAATTATTCTTTGCTTTGCTCCTCTGACTTCTTCTAGTGTTAAGTGCGATGGCATCTTGATTTTTGTTCTTGTAGTGTTTTTCGTATATTGATCCGCGTCGTAGCCAGGGTATACCGTTTCGTATACGCGGATCAATATATTCAATTTACTGTATTTCTTGATAATTTGACCCAAAATATTAAATTCTTGAGCTTGGTATGTCGAAATATTCATCTACTTTACCTCCTTTTGTTATTCATTGGTATCATAACTTGTTTCTTCTTGTTTATATTGATAAGTAGGCAGCCAGCTTGGTCCCTGCCACCACAGAGAATGACTCAATAATTGTGTAGCAGTTAGGTCTCTGCTTGCGCTGTCCGCTAGGTTGTCCTGGGACTTTACGTATCGCCAGTCTTGTGCGGGAATGACGTCGGTAACTTGTTTTTGCCGTGACTAGAACCACTGTACTTTGGTCTCTATGATTTATTTTGCAGTATATTACGTAAGAGTATGCTCTTGTTGACGAGCCGTAAAATCCATGCAACTCAATAACATCAGTTTCATTTGTCTTGAATCATCTTTTTACTTAAATTTTTTCGATGTTTTTATGAATATCGTCCCTGATTTTCTGCAACTCCAAATTGATATTATCGGAAAGCTTATACGTGGTAGAGCCATGCTGCAGCTACATTAGTAGTATAGTTGTGGCACGAATGGGTCGGCTCGACCGGGGCAGGACCACGCTCTCATAGAATACCAGGTTCAAATAGCAGCTTAACGCTGCTGTGTTTCGTATGGTGAGTGCAGAGAACCGGAGCCCCTTTTTACTGGAAAAGAGGCATACCATCTTAGTCCTCACGGGTGACAACGCATCTGCATTTTGATTCGCAAACGAGGATAGATGTAGATGTCTATGGGCAACAGCAACCACTTACCATCAGGTGGACTGTTTGCTCGTTTGTCACCCTATCCTATAAAATAAAATAAAAAATAAGTGTATCATTTCAGTCGATGTTAGATAGCCACGTAGATTGGAAAAGTAGTTTCAACTTGGTAATTAGTGGTGAAATCCATCGCAGAAGGTCCCAAAGGGTTTATACGTCAAAGATTAAGCTTCTCTTGGTGTTGCTTGTTTTTTGAATTGGAAAGTGAATGAGTCTTCTTGAGGGTTCCATCTCAACCTTAAGGTCTTTGCAGATTCAACAACTCTAAATTCAAAAATCCCATCTTGATTGACATTTTCACAGAATTCTGGAATATTAGATGACCACTTCCTGAGATTAAATCCGCCTGCTTTCAATAGTTTTATGAGGTCATTCTTCAACCTTATTGCAAGGTCAGCGCTATGACAACCATGAATAACGTCATCCATGTATAGGCTATTCCGTAAAATAGAAGCTGCTTGAGTCTTGGTTTAGTATTTTTCTTCATCATCTGCTAACTGCTTCAGAGTCATCATTGTTACGTATGGCGCGGCCTCGGTGCCATATGTGACTGTAGTGAGTTGGTATTCCTGCAATGGTACTTCTGGGCCATCTCGCCATATTATTTTGTGTTATTTTTGGTATTCTTCATTTAGCCAAATTTGGCGAAACATTTTTTCTATATTAGCTGCGTATGCAACTGAAATCTTATTGTAGATTTGGGCCTTTGTGCATAAGATCATTAAGGCTCAATCCTGTCGAAGTTTTTGCCGAGGCATTGAATATAACCCTGATTTTTGTAGTTGTTGACTCCGGGCTCTCGACGCCGAGCTTGGTGCGGCATATAAAAGTCCGGTTTCTTGTTATCGGTAGCCGGTTTCATATGACCCAATGCTAGGTATTCTTGAATAAATAATTTATAATTTTTGTATTATTTTGTTTTGTGAATCGTCGTTCCAATTGTTTGAATTGCGCAGTTGCCTTTTGTTTCGATGTGCCCTGGTCTTGCGCAATGTTTGACTTAAGGGGAAGTTTCACTTGGTATCTTCAATATTCGCGTGTTTTCGTTGTTGATTTATTTATACAAATCGATGCATGCTTGATCTCCTGACGTGAGAGTAGACTCTTGACTAATGTCCTCGATCTCCCAAAACTGATGGATGTTTTGTATATTATTCAGCAAAACATTGCACTGTAGGGTAACTTGATTAGCACCTCCCACTTAATATCCAACCAAATCTCGTTTGTTAGGCGATTGACGAGTTATTGTTTTCTCTGCAAATTTCGTCTAAGATGGTGTTTGAGTATACTTCTGCTCCCAGAAGTATATCTACCGGCCGACTTTTGTAGAATTGTGGCTCTGCTAACTGTATATTTTCTAGGAATGACCATGACGGCTTTTCCAAGGTGTAGATCGGTAAATTATTAATTAGAGTTTTCATTATGAGAACTTCGGTATTAAGTGTGAAGTCACTATTATTGGACTTGATTGTTAAATTGATCACGCCTCTACAATTGTTTTCTTTTACGCCAATCCCAGTTATGACCCCTTTAGACTTACTTCTAGGTAGTGATAGAAGTTGAGCTGGTTTCTCCGTTATAATTGAGTTCTGAGATCCTTGATCCAGCAGTGCTCGGAGCTTGTAATAAGTGCCATTGTTGGCATGAACTTGAACAATAGCTGTAGCGAGCAGTCGCGCTGCAGTTACACGTGGACACTGTTCTGGTTCTGCTGGACAGCATCTGCGCTGCTTGATGAGTTTCCGTGGTTAACCGTCTTTATGAGCTAGGTTGGTTCGTGGTTTTAGATGTTACGAATGCTTCGTGCAATATTGTGTTGTGCTGACCTTGGCATTCACGGCTGCGATTCTGAGAAACACACTTTCCTTGGTGACGGTTTAGGCAGTTTAAGCACAGCCGTAATCTTGATATGGCACTGCGTCCCTGCTGAGTCGTCATTGCTATAAGTTTTTGACAAAAATATATTCCATGACCATAATTACAGACCGGGCACGTGACTGTAAACTTATTACCTACTTGTTGTTGCATTTGTTGGTTCTGTAACATTGTAGTTGGAAAATACTTGGTATTTTGATTTATTATGCTTCACCGGGATATGACTTGATGGTGGTTTTTGCATGGTTTGTTCTTGTTTTCTACGGGATGTTTCCAACGTAGTGAGTTTTCCTTTCAGGAATACCAAAAAATCTTTGAGTGTCCGTAACTCTAACTTGTTTTTGAAAAATACCTTGCTACGCTTGCTTGATATGCTTGTACTTTGCTTGTGAAATCCTTCTGCTTGGTGTGCTTGATGAATGCTTGGAGAGTGCTTGCTTGGTGTGCTTGGTGAATGCTTGCTTGGTTTGCTTGGTGAATGCTTGTACCTGCTTCAAAATTGCTATGCTTTTGGTGTATCTGATATTCTTGGTCTTGTGCTTGATATTGTTACTTGTTCTCAGTATATTTGCAGACTCTCAGTACATGTAGAGCGCCGTCTCAATTCGGCTGGTGAGAACCACTGTTGGGAGGCCATCCGAACCGATCGCACTGCACTTGAGATCTACAAATCACTGATCAGTTTGCTCGAAGGACTATATAGATTTTTGGTCCGGTTATACCACACACCCTTTACTTGATCTGATAACGTATGATTTAAACACAATCTTGAGAAAAAACAAAGATTTATTGAGATTTCACAATATACGAAACTTGGTAAAAATATTAGTTTGAGTCACGCGACCGTATTGGTAGGCAAACACCAAAAGCCTAAAAATGTAGAATATTAATAAATAAGGTCAGTCGCGCATAGTGTTTAATTACTAAAATGCCGCGGGAGAATGCACGGTGTTGCACCGTACACCTCTGATGTTGCAATTTTTTAGGGTCAACGGTAGGCATTTAAGATAAAGCAGTACACAGTTCACTTGATGGTAAATGGATGCCGTGGCCCATAGCCCATATCCTCAATTAAGAATCAAAATACAGAAGATACCCCTTAGGTGTAATAACGCATCGCATACCTATGTGAGAGCCTGTTCCTTCACCTTCCTCGGTCTAGCCAACCCATTCGTGTTACACTACCATAATATAGCTGCACCGTAGCCCTACTATATAATATAAAGCAAACTAAGGAAAATGTAATAATTTGATGGGAAATATTTCAACTTTTCCTCCAATTTGCCAACTCCACATAATATGTATTCTAACGATGGAAAAAATAACTTAATAAATCCGAAAGTATGTACTTGACGCTCATCAACACGTCTGCTCATGCCCAGCGCCAGCATGGTGAGTACGTAGTACGTACTATAAAGTACTCTCTGATATTTAGTGGTATGATGATGGGTTAGATTCAGGGGCGTAGCTACCGCCGTATCAGCCGTTTCAATGATACGGGGCCCCCGGGCTACAGATGCCCCGAACGTATGTAAGCAAAAATTCTAATGCCGGGTTTCCATGCTTGCCAAGCCTCGGCAAACATCTTCAAGCCCCAAGCGTCCACAAATCTCGTTTGGCGTTTGGAAGTCGTTTTCATGCTTGTGAATGTGTCAGTGTGTTACGTAAACCCAAGCATGGCGGACACCGAATTTGTGTCGGCTATTGCGTTTGGTTTATTTTTACGTGGTAGAGCCATGCTGCAGCTATATTAGTATAGTTGTAGCACGAATAGGTCGGCTCGACCGGGGAAGGACTACGCTCTCACAGAAAACCAGCGTAAAATAGCAGCTTAACGCTGCTGTGTTTCGTATGGTGAGTGTAGAGAACCGGAGACCCCTTTTTACTGACAAAGAGGCATTCCATCTTAGTCCTCACAGGTGATAACGCATCTGCATCTTGAGTCTTTATTGAGGATAGATTTAGATGTCTATGGGTCACAGTAACCACTTACCATCAGGTGGACTGTATGCTCGTTTGTCACCCTATCCTATAAAAAAAACTTTTATTTGAAATACAAGCAAAGTAATACAAAAACAAGGAATTTTCGGCTTTTAATTCTTTTACTGGCTTTCCCGTTAACTCGGCAAGACGACTCCAAGCATTTGCAACTTTCTTTTTATTTTTATGATTAATGTCTTTGGGGTTCCAGATAGACGATTCGGTCTGGTAATATTCCAGAAACGATAAACTCTCTTCGTTCGCCAAGTCACTCATTTTAAACAAAGAACTAAACATGCGCTCGTCACGAAATGACAATTTCTACTAAACGCGCACCAACGTGTGAATGCGTTGCAAGCGCTTGCCGCAAGCGCCCTTTGATCTATGTCCAAAAACCGACACTACCCCGGATCGGGCACAAGCGTCCACAAGCTCACGCCTGCCAAGCCAAACGCCCTCTTTACACACTTGTGCTTGTGGATGCTTGCCGAGACTTGGCAAGCGTGGAAACCCGGCATAAGGACTTCTATGGAACAGGATGTTGGTATGAATTGTTTGGCTTGCTTAGTTCCTAGGAGTATTAATTGTAAGTAATAACTTATAATCAATATATAATTATTTTAATTCAATGCGAGTATAATATATAGTTTTTGTTCCTTTTGTGAAAAATCTTTACCCTTCATTTGGGCCCCCGACAAGTTTTGATCTAAAGCACGCTACTCCACTGGTTAGATTAAACAAGTTTAAAATTCAATCATAGGCCAGAATCCAAAAATAAAAGGTCAAAGTATTAATTATTCAACACTTATAACCTTCAGTAAATAACAAGACCTTCAAAATTATTTTAAATATTGCGCAAAAAAGTTTTCCTGTAAATTACGTAATCTTAATAGTAGCGTTTATAGGGTAACATACAGCTTACATACGTAAAGATAACATTCCTATCAACAATCCCATTTCTCTTTCAATAGAAGTTTCACTCATTAAATTAGTCAATAAAATTTATTATATGAATATTCTCCATATAATGTACTCTGGGTTTCATTCAGTTACATTGGTCTTGATATAACGTCTCTGATCAATTTTTTTGTAACATTATTTACAAACGCACTAACGATACAAGGAAATGTCAAAATAAAAGTGACATTATGAGATTATGACATAATCGTTTTACGGCTGTCACAGGGCGCGCGTTTATTTTCGTAGTATGAAAGAAACTTTTTTTTATTTACTTTGAATGTGAATACCAATTTAATTACGTTTAGATAAAATATAAAACAATGCCTTATGCTATGATACGACATTTACGACGAACGGTGCTGTTAACTCAACAAATACGTCTCGAAAGCACTATGACCAATCTAACTCATGAAGATTACGTTTTCCGACCTCCCATAACACAATGGAGTAACATCATCAGAGAAGCAGAGAAGATTGTTGGCTATCCGACCTCATTTATGAACTTAAGATGGTTACTGAGCGATGAATTCGCTAATATGGCTGTGCATTTGCGCAAAATTGTAAGTATAATCTTTCCAATAAAGTTCTTGTAAGCCTCAGAAATATTAAACATTTAAATTAAATAACAAATTGCTATTTCTCCTTAGAGTTTTACAGTGATTTTTGCCACTTATCACACAATATTTATATCTTACTTTAAACATTGGAGTTCCTAGATTTTATTCGTAATTATAATAATTATGTAACAATAATTTTATTACTTTTTAAAATTAATAACTTAAGTACAAAAATGTTAACACTGTTGTTACATTATATTATACATTGTCAAGGTTAACATCAATATAGCAAGGTTGGTTACTTCTTAACAATAGATTACAAAGTTACATTTTTAATGTAATATGTAGCTAACAAAGTGTATACTTTTAATTTCTGTGAAAATGAAAAATAGTTGAGAATAACGTTGGTAAGCTAATTATATCTAAGCAAAGCTTGTGCGCTTATTGTGTTACAGTTATTATTTATTTTCCGTAAATGGTGTGAGGCAAGAAGCCTTTGGTTATATTTTATCATTATCATCTTCATCTTTAGTCAGTAAAAGTCAATTACTGGACTTGGCCTTCACCCATTTTAAATTTAGGTACTGATAATGCCAGATCAAATAATATACCTTTTTTTGCCCTACTGTGAATTTGTTTATTTTTTTAGGTTAACAGCAATCATCCCTTAATGAAAACAACAAAATCCGTATTATACAATGAACACAACAATCTTCAACCATGGGGCCTGATTATATTGCTTCTGTCCAAAGCAGTCAACCCAACAATGCCTTCACTGCAAGCTAACAAAGTAAACGAAAGTCAAAGGCAATTAGCAGAGTTGACAGAGATGTTACGAACAGGACACTCTATACACAAAGGCCTACTTAACCTACCAATAGGGAAGAGCAAAGATTTCGATACAGAAGTGTTTGCTAATAAAATTGCAATACTTATTGGTGACTATTTGTTAGTGACTGCCAATGGAATGCTAGCCCGTCTGAAAAACCAAGACCTATCTTACTTAATATCAACAGCTTTACGTGATTTGAGCGAAGGGGAATTCTTTGGGCACAGGGATTCTCAAAATATGCCTTTGCCTGGGAAACCTTCAAGCATATTAGGTGCATATGAATTTAACAGTGATACGCTTCCCTTTGATGTGACTAATGTGTTAGGAGCACCTATAAAGGAGTGGACTTTACGGACATTGTATAATGGTGGTAGTTTGTTTGGTCGGGGTTGTGAGGGTGCTGTATTATTAGCAGGTAGAGGAAGAGACAAACAAGAGAAGGCATATTTATTAGGGTGCCATTTATGTCTAGCTTGGCAGGCTGCCAGTGATATCCAGAAGTTCACAACTGGCAATAAGGAAACATTTTCATTAGTGAGTGCTCCAGTTCTGTTCGCCATGAACCAATCACCGCAGCTTTATGAAAAGATAGAGAAGGCACAGAATGATGTAAGGGAGCTCGATTATGATGCTCTTAAAGATAGTATATTAAAAACAAATGCGTTAGAAGAAACTAGACGTCTATTTTCAAAAAATTCTGAATTAGCATTGAAGTACGCAGATACCTTTGGTAACTGTGAATCAATCAATACTATAAAGAGTTTGATTAAGACATCATTATAGCACAAATTGTTAAATATTGTGTTATAGTTAAAGACAATTATATGTTCTTGCCTTTGAAGCTGGTCGTGTAAAATGTACCAGATGACGTTTTACTGTGAGAAAAATATAGGGTGTGATATGTGAGATTCTATTTGATCACTTATACCTGTTTTCCTCTTAGTAAAAAATAGTCACCTGGTATATACTATAATATAGATAATGTAAATAATTTTTAAATACAATTCTTTCCACCAGTTTTCAAAGGAACATGTTATATAATTTATATATATATATTGGTTATTTTAAGGTATATTTTTATTGTTCCTCCTACATCATGAAACAAACTTGATAAATATATTTAAATATTATCATATTTTATTTCTATTATACCATTTATTATTTCTAAATGTAATTGTACTAAAGAAGATAGAATGTGTACATCCTCCTAGCCAGTTAGGGTGAAATAACAACTTAATGCTGCCATGTTTCGTATGGTGAGTGTAGAGAACCGGAGACCCTTTTTACTGGAAACGAGGAATTATATCGTGCAGGCAATCTCAGCAGTTTGATTTTTATTCAAGTATAAATGTAGATGTCTATGGGCCACAGTATCCACTTACCATCGGGCGGAGTGTGTGCTTGTTGCCACCCGTTTACTAAAAATAGTTTTCGCTCATAGCAGAAACTACAAATACTACTACTGTAATGCTCGCGAACAGGAACTCTTTCTCATACAAACCTAACAGTCAGAGCCCTAAATGAGTCATTAAGTATATTTCCTTTAGATCTTACTCAAGGACAAAGATGTCTATGTCTCAATGGGATAGTAACATCAGTTACAACTGCCTCATTGGTTGAGTGTTCGTACACGATTGATGATCATGAGGTTCCAGGTCGGGTCAAAATCAGTTATTGGATTTTTCTGATAAGAAATTTTTGGTAGCAGTTCAGAGTCAGGGAATTGGCGATGTTTCACACCTAGGAAATCGCGTAAAGCATAAATGTTGGTCCCGTGCTTAATATCTACGGTCATGTCGAATTACCGTCCCATCAAGTCTGATTGTGCATCTACGCAAACACAGGTGCAGTCTCATAGTCATGAGTGAACCTGCGTTTGCGCAGATGCCTAGTCTCCGTTGAGAGTGGCCGTCGTGTCCGAAGTTCGGTTTGGAGGACGTTATTTTAACATCAGTTACATCAGTGGAATCTTTGTTTGTTAACCATTATTAGTACAGTCATAATAACGCAAAAATATAATAGTTAGTTTAATAAAAATATAATTTTTAGTTTTTTAATTAAGTTTTTCTGTCGTAAAGTTCATTACATCAGTGAAATGACTGATTCTTCTCTGTTTAAAACACTCGGAAATTATGCCTCTGCCTGTTGTTATTTGCACGTGGGCTGCTAACAACTTATCATCATCATCATCATTACAGCCCTTGAACATAGACCTCCCCCAAGCAATGCCACAAAGGGGTCGCCCTACACATCGCCTACAGGTACGAGGCTGCTACTCGAGAGCCTTTTTTCCCCATAGGTTGTCGGTTCTTCGAGCTATATGCCCGGTCCATTGCAACTTCAGCTTAATAATCCGTTGGGCTATGTCAGTCCCTCTGGTTTTACTGCGGATATCCTCATTTCTAAGTTTATCACGCAGAGAAACTCCGAGCATAGCCCTCTCCATAGCTCGTTGACCGACCTTGAGCATCCTCATACGGCCAGCAGTGAAGGACCACGTCTCGGTTCCATAGGTCATCACTGGCAACACGCACTGGTTATACAGTCTCGTTTTCAAGTTTTGAGGTATACCTGACAAGAAGATGTGCCGTAATTTCCCGAACGCTGCCCAACCGAGTTGAATCCGTCGATTGACCTCTCGGTCGAAATTGGACTTACCTAGTCGGACTATATGTCCCAGGTAAACACACTCGTCAACAACTTCGAGCTTAGTGCTCCCATCAACTACCGACATGGGTGTGATATGGACATTAAACATGATCTTTGTTTTGTCCATGTTCATCTTAAGTCCTACCGTTGGGAAACACTATTGAGATCATTGAGCATAGTGCTTAGGTCCTCCAGCGATTCTGCCATAAGGACTATATCGTCGGCAAATCGAAGGTGAGTGATGTACTCGCCATAGATGTTGATACCGTATCCTTTCCAGTTCAGAAGCTTGAAAACGTCTTCCAATGCAGCGGTGAAGAGTTTCGAGGATATTACGTCACCCTATCTTACACCTCTCTGCAATTGGACAGGTTTCGTACTCTGGTTCTGTACTCGGATAGCCATCGTAGCCCTACTGTACAAGCACTTCAACACTTCGATATACCGACAGTGAACTTTGCACCGCTGAAGGGACTGCAGCACCGCCCAAATTTAGGACGGGACCATTTACTTCATACGTATTTGGTAAATGTAAGAAAAAATCTGAATAATCTTGAATGTAAATTTACTGAAATAATGAAAATATATCAAATTCTCTATCAACTACAAATTTAATTAGCTCATATAAATATCACCACCTGCTCATATAAAGACACCTGTCCCGTTGCCCTCAAACAAAGCTCCGGGACGGAAAATAGTCCCGTCTTCGGAAATAGCGCGAAAATTTAAAACTACGAAGTTTGTCAGATACGAACGGTGTGAAAGCGAGACCGCCCAAAGAATAACCGAATGGGATAATTTAAAAGTATCCGCAGAAACTGGTTGGGTGGAAGTATTCCAACACTTTCGCACCAACAATCTTTTTTTTAATCAAATATATTTCATGTCTACCTGGTACAAATGCTCCAGTAGAAAGAGTATTTTCCTGAATAAATTGTGGACGTCTGAAAAAAATCTAGGAAAAGGTTCCAGTTTTAAAGGCGATGTTGATAACAAAGTTCAATATAAAAAAAAAACATGCCCAGAATTTTATTCTTAATTAAAATCATCTCCAACTTTATTAAAGTAAATTTTTTCCACTGACAAATGTACATAATAATTAAAAAAAAATAAAAATATGTTGCATTTAATAATTACTGTCCGAGGCACTTTACTTTAATGAAACTGGTGAAATGGTGGATTCATTTTGATTTTTCACAATTTGTTACAATAAAAATAATTATAATTAATGTGAATATAATTATAGTGAACACTAATTGTATAAAGTTATACTTAGTTTAAATAAAAAGTATAAATAAACGCATGTCCCGTTTTGAGTTAAAAAATAAATGGTGAGTTTAATCCTAACGTCTTTTTTCCACCTTCTTTTGTTTACCTTCTATAAAATTAAAATAAACATATTTTTTTCTCAATTCGCGTAAATACAAAAAAATTATCGTGTTAAAAGTAGTCGGGGGAAAAGATTCTTCGTATTTTATTTGTATAAAATTGAAGAAAATTCTCTTTGGTTGTACTATTTGTATCTGGCTGGTTTTAATATCAATAGATATAGGACATCAGGGAAAAGATAAATAAAAAGTAAAAAAATCAGTTTCCCGCCATTTATCAGTTGTTTTTTGTACTACCAAAATGAGTGAAACTAACGAAGAAATTCGATACATTCTTAATTTTTATTACAAAAAAGGGGAAAAATGCGACTCAAGCAGCGAAAAAATGTGTGAGGTTTATGGACCTAATGCAGTGTCAGTAAGAATAGCATAAAGTTGGTTCAAGCGTTTTTAGTCCAGGAATTTTTATGTCAGATAGATTAGATGCAGCTCGCTCTGGTCGCCCTCATATGAATAAACTCGATGCCATTTTTGAAAAAGTGGAGCAAGATCGGCATATTAGTAGTTACTACATAGCTGAAGAATTGACCACACAACAGTTTTGACCCATTTGAAAAAATCAGGCTGAATTACAGAAAAGATTATATTTCGATACCACACGAGCTCACTTAAAGAAACCTAATGAATCTTGTACTCATTTGCGATTCTCTACTGAAACGTAATGAAACCGAACCATTTTTGAAAAGATTGATCACTGGTGATGAAATGTGGATCACCTACGACAAGGTCGTGGGAAAAAGATCGTGGTCAACGGGTAGTCCATTGGCTGTAGCGAAACCCGGATTAACACGCAATAAGGTGATGCTGTGTGTATGGTGGGATTGGAAGGGCATCGTTTATGATGACCTTTTACCGCCGCGCCTTGCAAAACCATCGATTCGGATCTCTACTGCCAATAACTAATGAGACTCAAGCAAGAAATTGAGAAAAAACGGCCGGAATTGAATTGAGAAAACTGGAGAGAGCTTGGTTGGAAAGTGTTAATGCATCCACCATATAGTCCTGACTTTGCACCCTCAGATTTTTCCTTGTTTTGGTCTCTTCAGAATTCTTTAGGTAGTGTTAGGTTAACATCAAGACTCAAGAGAGGACTGTCAAAACTACTTGTTGCATTTTTTTGATCAAAAATCCCAAGATATCCCAAGAAATCATAAGATTATGTCATTACCAACAAGATGGCAACAAGTTATCGAACAAAATGGCACTTATATATTATAATTAAATTTAATTCAACTTTAAAAAAATCCAAGAAAAAAAATGTCTTGAATTTGTACATAAAATACGAAGAAACTTTTCCCCGACACAATATATTATGTCTGCACATACTGTTGAGTCTACCTTTTTACTACTTACGTCACTATATAGTAATTTAACTCGCTCATCATAGTTTATTTAGCACATAGTGATAATGACAAAGTAAATTGTATGTTTTCAAGGATTGAGCGGACTTCGTGAATTATATTACGTAGAATATATATTTCAACAGGATTACGTACCGAGTTGCAGCCAACGATTTTTGTTCATTCATAATCATGGAGACTACCTGACCGGATAAGATTTGTTGTACGTTGCAGAATGCCCCATTATACGGAACACAACAACATTAAACTGTTATTTAACGTTGGTTTTCTGTGAGATACAACGCTGTAGCTATATTATGGTAACAACACGAATGGGTCGGCTCGACTAGGGAAGGACCACGCTCCTGAGAGTATATCGACGCTGGAAAGAAAAAAGTTACCAAGC